TTACGCTCACTTTGGCCATTTGTCTCCATCTCTTTTCTAACCTTTGTCTGTGTTTTACTCATTTCTGGCTTCTTTCTTCACCCTCTCCTTTGTATATTTTCCCTTCTATCAGTGCTTGAGCTAACTCTTATTTTGCCTTGTTGCTCACTTAAATCCCATCATGTAGTCAAAGCACACACCACAAACACACACAGATATACACAGACCCACAGGCACACATACAGACACACAGACAAATATTTCAAAGAGTTTCCACCATTCTCAAGATCACTCATTCAGTCTCAGGGCAATTTTTAGTATTTCTTCCCAGCGTTAAGAAGCGGATTTCACTGTGACAGTCAGACAGGGATTTTAGTCCGTAAATAAAATATTCAAAACAAACACATACCCAAGGAGATGGGAAAACAAAAGCAATGCAACAAAATTTTAAATTAGATGAGGATACATATGAGAGCATGTATTTTTCTCCTTATAAAAATAAAATATATTTTTCAAAAATTCATTAAATATACAGAAATATAAAGAAGGAAATTAAAACCCCTGTAATGCTGCCACAAAAGCCATAATCAATTCTCACCATTTGCTATATTTCCTTCCAAACCTTTCCTTGTCTGTTCATATGCATGTATAAACACACAAATTAAAAGTAGCAAAATTGGAAGCTTACTCTGTGTGTGTCTGTGTATATACACACACATTTAACTATACATTTAAATATGTAGCTAAAATTCTGTAGACTAAGCAATTTTTAAACAGTCTAGAATAATTTGGCTAAACTAATGAGATTTTTTAAACAGAAAGACAAAATAAAAACACTTCGCAAAGAATTTGCTACATGTCATCAAAGTAAAGATGTCTCACTGTGACTGACTGGGAAGGTATAACACTGATCTAGAATGGTGTTGCTAATGAGATCAAGTCTGTGAGTTCAATCCCTGAATGAATGAGTTTAGCACCACACATGCAAAAGCTCTATCCCATGGCCCCAGAATATCCCCCAACTCCAAAGAGTGGTTCATACTTATGCACCATTACTCAAGAAATGGGTGTCGCAGAGTATATGTGGTTGGTGAAATCCAGCATTTCATAAGCCTATCTGGGCACCAGTGCCCTTCATTTAGAGTAAGAACTTTTCCCATCCTGGAGAATTACTATTCCACAGGATGTACTTTAGGAAATGCTGGCCATAGTATTTAAACTTTCCAGTGTGATATCATATGAGGAACTTTGTGATCTGGCTCCATGTAATTTTAGAAACATGATGACAAAAATCCTGGGCTCTGGAATCAGATAAATATGAGTTTGGAGCCTTAACCTATGTAAGCCTCACTTTTCTCACCTATGAAAGAGATTAATAACAACAACTTGCACGTAGTTGTGAGGAGTAGAAATGAGGAGAAAGAGGATTTATCATATTATTCTCTCAATAAATGGTGGATATCTTCATTATTATTGTTGTTGCCTTTTTCACCACATTTACTCTATTCCATCACATAATCCCTTTCCACAAGCCCAGTAATTCCTTTTTTTTTTTTAATTTTTTTTTAACGTTTATTTATTTTGGGGACAGAGAGAGACAGAGCACGAACAGGGGAGGGGCAGAGAGAGAGGGAGACACAGAATCGGAAGCAGGCTCCAGGCTCTGAGCCATCAGCCCAGAGCCCGACACAGGGCTCAAACTCACGAACCGTGAGATTGTGACCTGAGCTGAAGTTGGACGCTTAACCAACTGAGCCACCCAGGCGCCTTAAGCCCAGTAATTCTTAACAGGCATCCCGCCAACCATATGCAAGGTATGACACCAAGTTTTAAAAAACATGCAAATTTTGTTGTTTGTACAATTGAACGTGTATTGGGTTTTGTCACTGCTTGCCAATGGAGTGTTCAGCTAAGAGGACATGGGGTATCCAGTAAGAAGTTGAGGCAAATTTATTCTAAAGTAAGCTTTACAGAAATACGTGACAATTATACCTTAGGAACATACATGAGCAGGGGAGTAAACTACTCAAACACAATCACATTGCTGAAGGGTGCCTGCTTGAGTAGTGTGATAACTACGGGTACTTTATACATGTTGGGATATATTCTTGCAGTGTAGTGCCAACTGGCTTATGGTTATTGATGGCTTGTTTAGTGTTACCTTAAGTCTTTTCATCCCTTAAAGAGTGCTGCCCATAATTCCAGAATGCCATGAAGACTTCAGTTCCTAGTCATGTCTAACCACTAATGGTCCCCAATACACCAAACTCTTTCTTGCTTCCTTGAGTTGGTACAAAAAACCAAAACTAACTTTTTGCCTGATAAACTCTACTTTCAACACACTCTTTAAATATTTGTTTACTACCTAAAATCCAAGGTTGAGGTAAATTATCAATAGTAGACTTGAAGATAAGAACACAAAAGTGAGAAGATATTAATGCTATAGGAAATTCCGAAATGATAGATAACTTGGTGAATGCAAAAACAAAAGAAAAATTTTAAGAATATGAGTATTTGGAGCCAATGCATAATTCTCTGTGACAGAATTTATATGTATTATTGGCTCTGAAGAGGAAATAACAATACTTCCCAGGCACTGCTGTTGGGGGATGTTGAATGGTACTACACATAGGAAGTGTCATGGCACTTAAGTTCATATCCCATGGCTCTTTGGTGGCTGAGAAATATATCTCTTTGGTGGCTGAGAAATATATCTCTGGCCTCAAGAATCTCAAGAACATGAACCCAGGCCAGATTGTTTAGTTATTCTGAATTAATAATTCCAAGGTGAGACTCAGGAATTCACATATTCTATAAGGCCACTAATTGATTCTGAAGCACATGATCTACAAAGTCTATTTTGAGAAACAAGTCTACAAGCCATTTTCCAGTCAATTAAAAAAAAAATCCAATAAGATATAACTGAATCACAAAACACGATTTTAAGACTTGGAGGATAATATCACATATATACACACATTCCTATGTTTCTAACATTGGGAACTAGAACCATGATTCCCAAGTACTGAAAACCACTCTAGCATTCTTTCTCGACAGATGGCAATAAGATCCACTATTGTGGACTGAGTTGTGTTCCCATCCCCTTCAAACTGATATGTTGAGGACTTAACTCTGAACATAACCATATTGGAGATTTAGGCTTTGAAGACATAATTAATGTTAAATGAGGTCATAGGGTGGGCCCTGATCTAATAGGACTGACATCCTTATAACAAGAGGTAGATACTGCCCCCACACAGACGAAAAACCTTTTCAAGGGCTCCATCTGCAAGCCAAGAGGGAGTCTTTCCAGAAACTAACCTTGCTGGCACCTTGATCTTTGACTTCCAACCTCCAGAACTGTGAAAAATAAATAAATTTCTGTTGTTTAACCCCTCCCCACCTCCCCCCAGTCTGTGGTATTCTGTTATGGTAGCCTGAGCTGACTAATATATCTATCACTCTAAAAACTAAGAATATATCTATGGCCTAAATATATTGTCTATTAAGTGGAAATTACCGATATGGACATAACCATTTGTCTCTGAAAGAAAATATTTAAGAAAAAAAAATATACTTACAGATTTTTACCCATGGAGAATTTCTTTTTTCTTTTCTTTTTTTTTTTTTTAAATAATGTTTTGGTTTTGGTATGGTACTTACGTGCACTAAAATTTCCTGATAAAAATGTGTAATTAAAAAAAGTTGAACAGACTGGAAAACAAACAACTCTTCTTTGATTTGCCAAAGAAATGAGGCCACAGGGCAAATGACTGCCCCAAATATTAGAGACACAAACAAGAGGATACTAGAATCACAGCTTCATTGAGTAGAAACCCACAAGCAGAAACCACTTATAAAAATCAGTGTGAGGGTAAGAAAATCTGAACTATACTGACTAATGGCTGGAAGCTTGTCATGGACAAGTCTGACAATTAAAATCTCCAAGGGGGTCCAGTCATAGGGCAGCCCCCACACTTTTGTGGCTTTTACTTCTAGGAGTTCTACCATGTTGTCACAGTAAATATTAGAGAAAAAAATCTCTTCTTGCTTCTCACAGGGGAAGGGGAAAAGTAAATACTCTTCTCAAAAATACTACCCTCAAGAGAAACTATTTTGCCAGAGCATAATCTGTCAGGGTTTTTATCAGAGCCTAACCAACCCGAGAGAAGGGAAAAACCCACCTCCAGCCCCCTCTAGCTATCCTGTCCCTATTAAATGGGGGAGAAAAACTGAGAAGCATTTGTGAAGTTCACAGCCCAGAGGCAGGCTCACAACAAGACTAATCTCTAATCATAGGACTATATATAGACTGTTCCCCTCCCTGCCATACTTCACCACCACATCACTAAAAATCTGTTAATTTTTTAAAATTATTTTTTGTGTAGTACATTGTTCTTTCCTTTTAACAAAAAAGTAAAAGGTATAACAAAAGGCAAAAACACAGTTTATAGAGATAGAATAACCATTAGATCTAGATTCAGATATGGCAAGGATGTTGGAATTATCAGACTGGGAATGTAAAACAACTATGGACTTTAATGGATAAACAGTATGCAAGAACAGATGGATAATGTAAGCAAAGAGATGACAATTTTGATATTGAAGAATCAAAAAGAAATGCTAGAGATTAAAACCACTGTAACAAAAATGAAAAATGTCTCTGTCATGGGCTCATTAGTAGTCTGGACATGGCTGAGGAATGGATCTCTGAGTTTGAGGATAATCAATGGAAACTTCCCAAACTGAAAAACAAAGAGAAAAAAGACTGGAAAAAGAAAAAAAGGAACTGAATATCCAAGAACTATGGCACAACCACAAAAGGTATAACATTTGCATAATGGGAATACCAAGAGGAGAAGGAAGGAAGGAAGGAAGGAAGGAAGGAAGGAAGGAAGGAAGGAAGGAAAGAAAGAGGAGGGAGAAAGGAAGGACATGAGAGAGGGAGGGAGGGATGAAGGACATGAGAGGGAGAAAGAAAAAGAAAGAAAGAAAGAAAGAAAGAAAGAAAGAAAGAAGAGAAAAAGAGAGGTTTGAAACAATATTTACTGAGATTACCCCTAAATTAATTTCAGATATCAATCCACAGGTCCAAGAAGCTCAGAGAACAAACACTAAGTGGGATAAATGTGAAAAGAAAAACAACAACAACAACAACAAAGACATCTGGGTCTATCATATTCAAACTGCAGAAAATCAAAGATAAAGAAAGTCAGAAATATATCAAAGATAAAGAAACTCAGAAAATGCCAGAGGGAAAAAACACCTTAGCTATAGAGAAACAAAGATAAGAATTATGTCCAACTTCTCAGAAACCATGCATACAAAAAGGAAGTAGTGGAATATTTCAAGTGTTGAGAAAAAAAAAAAAACAACCATTGATGAAGAACTCTTTATACTGTGAAATTATCCTTCCATCTTTCCAAACTGAAGGTGAAATAAGATCTGTGTGTCTGTTTTTGTGCCAGAACCATACTGTCTTGATGACTACAGCTTTGTAATATGGCTTGAAATCCATAATCGTGATGCCTCCAGGTTTGTTTTTCTTTTTCAGCATTTCTGTGGCTATTTGGGGTCTTTTGTGGTTCCATACAAATTTTAGGATTATTTGTTCTAGCTCTGCAAAAATAGTGGTGGTATTTTGATAGGGATTGTATTAAATGTGTAGATTGCTTTGGGTAGTATAGACATTTTAACAATATTTGTTCTTTCAGTCCCTGAGCGTGGGATACTTTTCCATTTCTTTGTGTCCTCTTCAATTTCTTTCATAAGTTTTCTATAGTTTTCAGAGTATAGATCTTTCATCTCCTTAGTTAGACTTATTCCTAGGTAGCTTGTTTTTGGTGAAATTGCAAATGGGATCAACTCCTTGATTTCTTTCTCTGCTGCTTCACTATTGGTATATAGAAATGCAACAGATATCTGCACCTTTATTTCATATCTTGTGATATTGCTGAATTCATGTATTAGTTCTAGTAAATTTTTTGTGGAGTCTTATGCGTTTTCTACATAGAGTATCATGTCGGCTACAAGTAGTGAAAATTTGAATTCTTCCTTGCCAACTGAGATGCCTTTTATTTCATTTTGTTATCTGATTGCTTAGGCTAACACTTCGAGTACTATGTTAAACAGTAATGGTGACTACAAAGCTGTCATCAAGACAGCATGGTATTGGCACAAAAACGGACACATAGACCAATGGAATAGAATAGAAACCCCAGAACTAGACCCACAAATGTATGGCCAACTCATCTTTGACAAAGCAGGAAAGAACATCCAATGGAAAAAAGACAATCTCTTTAACAAATGGTGCTGGGAGAACTGGACAGCAACATGCAGAAGGTTGAAACTAGACCACTTTCTCACACCATTCACAAAAATAAACTCAAAATGGATAAAGGACCTGAATGTGAGACAGGAAACCATCAAAACCTTAGAGGAGAAAGCAGGAAAAGACCTCTCTGACCTCAGCCGTAGCAATCTCTTACTCGACACATCCCCAAAGGCAAGGGAATTAAAAGCAAAAGTGAATTACTGGGACCTTATGAAGATAAAAAGCTTCTGCACAGCAAAGGAAACAACCAACAAAACTAAAAGGCAACCAACGGAATGGGAAAAGATATTTGCAAATGACATATCGGACAAAGGGCTAGTATCCAAAATCTATAAAGAGCTCACCAAACTCCACACCCGAAAAGCAAATAACCCAGTGAAGAAATGGGCAGAAAACATGAATAGACACTTCTCTAAAGAAGACATCCGGATGGCCAACAGGCACATGAAAAGATGTTCAGCGTCGCTCCTTATCAGGGAAATACAAATCAAAACCACACTCAGGTATCACCTCACGCCAGTCAGAGTGGCCAAAATGAACAAATCAGGAGACTGTAGATGCTGGAGAGGATGTGGAGAAACGGGAACCCTCTTGCACTGTTGGTGGGAATGCAAATTGGTGCAGCCGCTCTGGAAAGCAGTGTGGAGGTTCCTCAGAAAATTAAAAATAGACCTACCCTATGACCCAGCAATAGCACTGCTAGGAATTTATCCAAGGGACACAGGAGTACTGATGCATAGGGGCACTTGTACCCCAATGTTCATAGCAGCACTCTCAACAATAGCCAAATGATGGAAAGAGCCTAAATGTCCATCAACTGATGAATGGATAAAGAAATTGTGGTTTATATACACTATGGAATACTACGTGGCAATGAGAAAAAATGAAATATGGCCTTTTGTAGCAACGTGGATGGAACTGAGAGTGTGATGCTAAGTGAAATAAGCCATACAGAGAAAGACAGATACCATATGGTTTCACTCTTATGTGGATCCTGAGAAACTTAACAGGAACCCATGGGGGAGGGGAAGGAAAAAAAAAAAAAGAGGTTAGAGTGGGAGAGAGCCAAAGCATAAGAGACTGTTGAGAACTGAGAGCAAACTGAGGGTTGATGGGGGGTGGGAGGGAGGAGAGGGTGGGTGATGGGTATTGAGGAGGGCACCTTTTGGGATGAGCACTGGGTGTTGTATGGAAACCAATTTGACAATAAATTTCATATATAAAAAAAAAAAACAGTAATGGTGAGAGTGGACATCTTTGTCTTGTTCCTAACCCTAGAGGAAAGGCTTTCAGTTTTTCCCCATTGAGGATAATTTTAGCTGTGGGTCTTTCGTATATGGCCTTTATGATGTTGAGGTATGTTCCATCTATCCCCACTTTGTTGAGAATTTTTATCAAGAATGGATGCTGTATTTTGTCAAATGCTTTTTCTGCATCTATTGACAGGATCATATGGTTTGTATCCTTTCATTATTGTGGTATATCACCTTGATTGATTTGCAGGTATTGAACCAGCCCTGCAGCCCAGGAATAAATCCCAATTGATCATGGTAAATAATTCTTTTAATGTACTGTTGGATTCATTTTGCTAGTATCTTGTTGAGAATTTTTGCATCCATGTTCATCAGGGACATTGGCCTATAATTTTCCTTTTTAGTGGGGTCTTTGGTTTTGGAATCAAGGTAATGCTGGCTTCATAGAATGAGTTTGGAAATTTTCCTTCTATTTCTATTTTTTGGAACAGTTTGAGAAGAATAGATATTAACTCTTCTTTAAATGTCTGGTAGAATTTCATGGAAGCCATCTGGCCCAGGACTCTTCTTTGTTGGGAGATTTTTGATTACTAATTCAATTTCTTTGCTGCTTATGGGTCTGTTCAAATTTTCTATTTCTTCCTGTTTCACTTTTGGTAGTTTGCGAGTTTCTAGGAATTTGTCCGTTTCTTCCAGATTGCCCAGTTTGTTGCCATATAATTTTTCATAGTATTCTCTTATAATAGTTTGTATTTCTATGGTATTGGTTGTGATCTCTCCTCTTCCATTTTTATCTATTCGGGTCCTTTCTCTTTTCTTTTTGATAAGTATGGCTAGGGGTTTACTTGTTAAGAACCAGCTCTTAGTTTCTTTGATCTGTTCTACTAATTTTTTTTGTTTCTATATCATTTATTCCTACTGTAATATTTATTATTTCATTTCTTCTCTTAGTTTTAGACTTTATTTGCTGTTCCTTTTCTAGATCCTTTAGGTGTAAGTTTAGGATGTATATTTGGGACCTTTCTTGCTTCTTAAGATAGGCCTGAATTGCAGTGTACTTCCCTCTTAGGACTGCCTTTGCTGCATCCCAAAGGTTTTGCACTGCTGTGTTTTCATTTTCGTTTGCTTCCATCTATTTTTTTTTATTTCTTCTTTAATGTCCTGGTTAGCCCATTCATTCTTTAGTAGAGTGTTCTTCAACCTTCACATATGTGAGGGCTTTCCAAATTTTTTCTTGTGATTGATTGCAAGTTTCATAGCATTGTGACCTGAAAATATGCATGGTATGATCTCGATCTTTTTGTACTTGTTGAGGGCTGATTTGTGACCCAGTATGTGATCTGTTCTGGAGAATGTTCCATGTGCACTCAAGAAGAATGTGTATTTTGCTGCTTTAGGATGAAATGTTCTGAATATATTCTTTAACTCCGTCTGGTCCAGTGTGTTATTCAAAGCCACTGTTTCCTTGTTGATTTTCTACTCAGATGATCTATACATTGCTGTAAGTGGGGTGGCAAAGTCCTCTACTGTTATTGTGTTATTATCAATGAGATTATGTTTGTGATTAATTGATTTATATATTTGGGTTTCTGCCAGTTTGGGGCATAAATATTTAGAATTGTTAGATCTTCTTGATGAATAGGCCCCTTAATTATGGTATAATGTCCTTCTTTATCTCTTGTTACAGTCTTTGTTTTAAAATCTAGTTTGTCTGATATAAGTATGGTTACTCTGGCTTTTGACATCCATCAGCCTGATAGATAGATGGCTCTTCATCCCCTCAATTTCAATCTGCAGGTGTCCTTAGGTCTAAAATGAATTTCTTGTAGGCAGCATATAGATGGCTCTTATTTTTTTATCCATTCTGATACCCTATGTCTTTTGGTTGAAGCATTTAGCTCATTTCTATCCAGAGTGATTACTGAAAGGTATGAATGTAGTATAATAGTGTTACCTGTAGAGTTGGTGTTTCTGGTGATGCTCTCTGGTTCTTTCTAGTCTTTGATGCTTTTGGTCTTTTTTTTTTTTTTTCTTTTTTCCCCACATGAAGAGTTCTCCTTAAAATTTCTTGTAGGGCTGCTTTAGTGGTCACAAACTCCTTTAGTTTCTGTTTGTCTGGGAAACTCTTCATCTCTCCTATTCTGAATGACAGACTTGCTGGATAGAATGTTCTTGGCTGCATATTTTCCCCATTCAGTGAATATATCTTGCCTCTCCTTTCTGGCCTGCCAAGTTACTCTGGATAGATCTGCTGTGAACTTGATCTGTCTTCCCTTGTAGGTTAAAGACTTTTTTTTTTCCTTTCTGCTTTCAGGATTCTTTCCTTATCTGTGTATTTTGTGAATTTGACTGTAATAGGTCTTGGTAATGGCTGGCTTTTGTTGAATTTAATAAGAGTTATTTGTGCTTCTTGGATTTTGATATCTGTGTCCTTCCCTAGATTAGGGAGGTTTTCAGGTATAATTTGCTTACATAAATCTTCTGCCCCCTTTTCTCTCTCTTTGTCTTCTGGGACTCTTATGATAGGAATGTTATTAAGTTTTAATAAATAGCTGAGTTCTCTAAGTCTGCTTCCATGATCTGTGACCTTTGTTTCCCTCTTCTTTTCCACTTCATCATTTTCCATAATTTTATCTTCTGTATTGCTAATTCACTCCTCTGCCTTATCCATCCTCATTTTTAAATTCTTTTTAATGTTTATTTATTTTTGAGAGACAGAAACAGAGCACTAGCAGGGAAGGGACAGAGAGAGAGGGACACACAGAATCCAAAGCAGGCTTCAGGCTCTGAGCTGTCAGCAGAGAGCCCGACACGGGGATTGAACCCACAAACTGTGAGATTAGGACCTGAGCTGAAGTAGGATGCTTAACCAACTGAGCCACCCACGGGCCCCATCCATCCTCGTTTCTATAGCCTCCATTTGGGTTGGCATCTCGGTTATAGTATTTTTAATTTTGACCTAACATTGTAGTCCTTTTATCTCAGCAGAAAAGGATTCTCTGATGTCTTCTATGCTTTTTTAAATCCCAGGTAGTATCCTTATAATAATTCTTTTAAATTCTAGTTCTGACATTTTCCTTATATCTGCACTGATTGAATCCCTTGCCATCATTTCTTCTTGTTCTTTCTTTTGAGGTGAATTCCTCCATCTTGTCATTTTGGAGGAAGAGAAAAGAACAACAATAATACTACTAGAGTAAAATAAAAGTTAAAAACAATTTAAGTCAAATGAAGCTGGATCCTAGGTGTGTTTTGGTCTGCTTGTTAAGAGAAGCTGCTGTATTCTCTCCTTCAAATTAGGCAGATTGTTCTATTAATTTTCAGACTGATTTTCTAGGTGTTCAAAAACAGGTTGATCTTGATCTAGCTGTGTTCAAGGGATGAGACAAGCCAAGGGTCCCCTTACTACTCTGTCATCTTAACTGCAGTTTCTAAATGCATATTATTAGGTGAATGAAGCCAATCTAAAAAGGCTACCTTTGAAAAAAAAGGCATATTATTATTATATCATTTCGACTATTCTGGAAAAGGCAAACTTAAGGAGGGATCACTGGGATCACTGTGATCACTGATCACTGGATCAAGGGATCAGTGATCACTGATTGGGATCACTGATTGCCAAGGGTCAGGGGAAAGAGGGATGCATAGAAGAATGCAGAGGATTTTCGGGATAGTAAACATACTCTGCATTTTAGTTAATGTCACTGAAAGGTTTTGCAAGTTCAGGTTTGATACAGAAAAGAACTGGAGGTAGAGACTGATACGGTAGAGGCTGTTCAAGCTTACTAGATTTGACTGTTAAATATTCAGGAATTTTGTGTGCTGATTGTTAAAACACTGTAGCTTGAAACCACCTGGTTTCAAGTGGGAGAAACCAGAGAAGTTGGCAAAGGCTACAAATCAGGTTTTGGTTCCCCACCCTACCCCCCTCTTCAAAAAGTAGTCTACCAGCACACCACCGATTAGAGACAAAATCTGAGAACTATAAAATGGGAGTAGTTACACTTTCTGCATAGTTACTTACTTTGAGGTATATCAATATAAGTTGGCTCTATATGTGAAATACCTTTAATCCACACCCTAGGGGCAATTAATTACCATTTGAAGTAATCTAATCATGAATACACACTCTAGAAATCGTTATAACTTGTACTTTAGGTGTTATAGACATCTGCACCAGAGGTTTATTAGAAAAAGAAATGCTAGCGATAATTTTTGTTGGTAGAATGCAGTGAAATGAGTGGTGTTCAAGATAAGCAGGGGCCAAAACAGGTTATAAAAGTCCAGCAAGTCCTCCAGAGAATATTCTTGAGTCATCTTAGAGTGAATCTTCCATGCAACATGTTTGTTTAGAATGTTTGAGGATAGAAAGTAGAGATATCATCATCCTGTAATAACAAGTTTTAAAACCTGTTTCTGTGTCTTCTTGATAATAATCAGCAATGGATATATAGTTGGCATTGGACTAAGATCTGCTTGTATTGCGCTATGTACCTGGTAACAATGGTATGGGAGAGACACCAGTAACTACCAATTTTTACCAAAAGAATCTGGGTTTTGAGCAGCTGTTTTGACCGAGGTCAGTTTATGATGGAGGTGAATAGGAGTTGATAAAGAATTGAGAGCTTCAGCCTCTAATTCATGGGTTGATGCCAAGTCCTCCCAAAAGATTTTTGTTTCCGTGATGCCTTATGTCTAATGACCTTACATATCACTTTAGGATTAATCTTTCAATCATGATATTCTTCTACTCTAAAACTTTCCGTGATATTCTATTAACTAAAAAAAATTACATCTCTTAATCATGTATTCAAAAGTATTCATCATCTGGTTTCAACTTATATTTGCAATTAAATGTCTCACTTCTTCCTTCATTATTGCCAGACTGCTTTAAACAGTCTTTGAAACAAACTATGTGCTTTCCTTTGTAACCAATGTGCTCTTTTATAATGCTTTACCTTGGAGATTCTCAAAGTGTTGTCCCAGGACCAGCAGTATAAGCATTGCCCAGGAATTTGTTAGAAATGCAAATTCTTGAGGCCCATCCGAGAACTGCTGAATCCTAAACCTAGAGGGTAGTTCCAGTAAATTGCATTTTAACAAGCCCTCTAGGTGATTCTGATGCATGTCTTGAGAAACACTGATCTGATTTATTCTTCATGTTCTTTCAATGAATACTAGCTAAACCCATTAGCATTACACTTTAAGACCCAGATCAAGCCTACCTTCTCTGGAAAGTCTCTAGCATTTGAAAATCTAAAGTAATAATTGTTTTATACCACATATTACTATTCTATTTTTTAAGACACATATCTAATGCTCATCTACACTGTAAGTAACACAACCATGTCAAGACAATGAAGGTGACAGCTTAAGTGTGAAATGAAATTCTCAGGCCAGGAGTCAGGAGAGCCAGGAAAGAAAAAGCAAGGGGTGAGAAAATAGAAAAGAGTCCAGGACTTGAAGAATGCTGGAGTTTCCTAGCTTTGTTTTTCCTTAGAGAATATTGAGTTGGCTTAACGTACAGGAAAAACAAAAACAGGATAAGTTGCTGGGTTAGAATCTGAAAGAGAGGAATCCCGGGGTGTAATGTCTGTCCTTTTATCCCAAAGAAAATCCTCTTCACATTTCCACTGACCTAGATTAAAACTATCTACTCAACAAGACAGAGTTACATCTTTTTATCCCAAAAATAATAAAATTATTTTTTCTGATTATAAAAACTGTATGCTATCATTGTGAAAATTCAATGGAGAATCACAGAGGTTTTTGCTCCAAATTTCATTCGTGACAGACATCTACTGTTTGCATTTTAGTGGTCATCCTTCCAGATGAACTCAACAATATGCTCTGATATCTACAACTATAGAGCAAGATAAATATTTTGAATATATGCACAAGATTGACAAGTCATAATTTATTTTTAATTGCCTATAAAAAAATAGATCTTTTCCTATAAGCAAGATGGTAGTGAATAACCATGTTTGGACATCCAGGCACACTTGTTGGATTATCTTTTCTCATTAAATTCCTAAGAGAATTATTGTTGAGTCAAAATGAATACACATTTAAATTTTAGATTGATATTGAGAAACACAATAATTTCATAAGTCAGTCAAATGGCCTTAAGAAAATTTAATCTGAGGGTGTCTGGGTAGCTCAATCGGTTAAGCAACTGACTTCAGCTCAGGCCATGATCTCATGGTTCATGTGTTTGAGCTCTGCATCAGGCTCCCTGCTATCAGCACAGAGCTTGCTTCAGATCCTCTGTCCCCCTCTCTCTGCTCCTCCCCCCACTTGCATGAGTGTGCACTCTCTCTCTCAAAAATAAATAAACATTTTTTTAAAAAAAGAAAATTTAATCTGGTGCAGCTACTGAGTTTGACAGGTTTTGCACATACCTCACCTCTTTGAGTTTCCTAGGCAGTATAAAGTCTCTGATGTTGGCTGTGGCATGAAATCAACAACCATTTACATTGCAAGTAAATTTCTCTCCACAGTGCATATGCTGATATTCAAAAGTCCTGATTTCCTAAGGGCTTACTGAATTATCAAAATCAAGTTAATGCAGGTGTAAATGCAGAAATATCATTAGCAATCTGAAAATTGCCTCACAGGAGATGGCTTAGCCTCTTCTAAATTATCCCTCCTCATAACTGCTTGTAAATATGTGTCTTAGTCAGTTTGGACTGTTAGAACAAGATGCCAGAGACTAGGTGGCTTAAACAACAAATGTTTCTTTCTTATGAGTTTCTGGAAGGTGGGAAGTTCAAGATCAAGATGTCAGTAGATCCAGAGTCTGGTGGGTCCAAGATGAAGACACTGTCAGATACAGTGTCATTTACAGAAGTCCATCTTCTTGTTGTATCCCCACATGACAGAAAAAGGGCTAGCTCTTTTCCTCTTGTAAGGACACTGATCTCATCAAGGGGGCCACACCTCCATGATGTAATTAACTCCAAAGGCCCTACCTCCCAACACCATCACATTAGGGGTTCAACACATGAATGGGGGGACACAAACTTTTAGTCCATAACAATATGTTCTAAATATTTGTTTTATGTTATTTAAAGCCTTAAAATTGTGTAATCTTTCATTTTCAACACCTTACCAGATATCTCCCCTTGGATGTTCTATAGACTCTTTGGAACCAATCAAAAATGGGAATGACAATAAATACAGGCACACCACAGAGATGTTGTGGGTTAAATTCCAGATCACTGCAATAAAGTGAATATCACACTAAAGCAGGCCAAATGAATTCTTTGTTTTAGCAGTGCATATAAAAGCTATTAAAAAATCTATTAAGTGTGCAATAGCATTATGTCTAAAAAAACAATGTACATACCTTAATTAAAAAATATTTTATTTCTAAAAAGTACTAACCATCATCTGAGCTTTCGATGAGTCATAATCTTTTTGCTGGAGGGATGTCCTACCTGGATGTTGATGGTTGCTGACCAAGGCAGTGGTTGCTAACAGTTGGGGTGGCTGTGGCAATTTCTTCAAACAAGACAACAATGAGGTTTGTCACATAGATGGACTTTTCCTTTTATGAATGATTTCTCTGCAGCACAGGAGGCTGTTTGTCAGCATTTTGCCCACAGTAAAACTTCTTTCAAAGTTGGAGTCAATCCTTTAAAACCCTGCTGCTACTTTATGAGCTAAGTTTCTGTAATATTCTAAATCTTCCGTAGTCATTTCAACAATCTTCCCAGCATCCTC